CTCTCTCTCTCTCTCTCTCTCTCTCTCTCTCTCTCTCTCTCTCTCTCTCTCTCTCTCGTTTTTTCAATACAGGATTTCTCTGTGTATCTTTGGCTATCCTGGAACTCACTCTGTAGATCAGGCTGGCCTTGAACTCACAAAGATCTGCCTGCCTCTGCCTCGCAAGTGCTGGGATAAAAGGCATGCACCACCACCACCAGACTTATTTATTTTACATCCTGGCTGCAGTTTCCCCTCCCTTCTCTCCTCCCACTCCTTACCCTTCTGTTTCTACCCCACCCCCAATCCACTCCTCCTCAATTGTTTCTGTTAAGGAAAGAGCAGGTATCCCATGAATATCAACAAAACTTGGCATATCAAGTTGCAGTAAGACTAAGCACCTTCCCATACCATACGTGGTGGCAAGATGACCCAGTATGAGAAGTAGGGACCCAAAAGTTAGTAAAAGAGTCAGAGACAGCCCCTGCTCCCACAGTTAGGAGTCCCATAAGAGGATCAAACTACACAACAATAACCTACAGGAGTGCCTAAGTCAGTCCCATGCAGGCTCCTTGGTTGTCAGTTTGGTCTCTGTGAGCCCCTATGAGCCCAGGTTAATTGATTCTATACATTTTCTTGTGGTATCCTTGACCCCTCCAGCTCCTATAATCTTTTCTCCCCCTCTTCTGCAGGATTACCCAAGTTCTGCCTAATGTTTGGCTGTGGGTTTGTATTTGTTTCCATCAGTTGCTGGACGAAGCCTCTCTGATGACAATTGGGATAGGCACTAATCTATGCATATAGCAGAATATTGTTATCATATTTGGTTCTAACCTAGGTCCCTGGGTCATCCAATCTGTAAGTTCTGGTGCTCCAGGCAGTGTCGGGGTGAGCTTACTCTCCTGGCATGGGTTTAAGGCTGGATCAATCATTGGTTGGCCACTCCCTTAATCTCTAGGCTAACCTTACTGTTGTGGAATAATCTTTTTGTACACTGTGAAGATTTGTCACTCAGATTGGTTTAATAAAAAGCTCAACAGCCAATGGCTAGGCAGGGTTTTCAGGGCAGAAAGGATGCTGAGAAAAAGAAGGGTGGAGACATTGAGAATCATCAGCTAGAGGGAGAGGAAGCAGCATGGGCAGTACAAAGTAAAGGTAATAAAGCCACAAGACAAAAAGTAGATTGATAAGAAAGGGTTAATTTAAGATAAGATTTGGTTAGTTCAAACCTAGGCTATTGGCTGATCATTTACAATTAATAATAAGTCTTAGCATGGTTACTTGGGAGCTGGCAGGCAGGACAAAAAAATCTGCCTATAAATGGCGTCCAACTTGGGGCCATGTAGATCCACATTAGACCTTAGAAAGCTTTTTAAAAGGTTCTAAACACACAAAAGCTGAGCCAAACACAGCTTCCTAGTCTCATGTCTCTCATGTTGGCCGCAGAACAGAGACCCATCTCCTGGCAGCTGCCTACATGCTTGAGCCATCTGTGCTACATGAGCTAAGCCATATGGTGGTTTAAGGTTTTGCTCATGCAGACAGAAAAGGTTACAAAGCAGGTTCAATACAGTAGGTTCAGATGGAAAAAAAACTCTAACCAAGTTACAGTGTCTTTAACAATGTGCATAGGCTTAAGAAAAAAATGGGTATAGACAGTCATAGAAAGAATAGTTTAAAAATGATAAAGTAAGGTCTTTAAAGAGAAAGTAAAGTTAAAAAAAAAGAAGCCACATAGAGATGGGAAATACACAGGAAGTTTGGATCCTGTATGTTATTTTATTGTTTTTGAACTTTTTTTTATTGCTGATGAACAAACAATAGTTGCTGATAGACACTGGATTATAGAAACTACTAAATTAAACTAACCTACATATTTTTTAAATGTCTTAACTTCAAAATGGAAGTAAAAAATATGTTGTGGTAAAGAAGAGGACATGCTTTTGTTTCCACAGAAAACAAAAGGCTATGGATCTGTTCAAGGTTAAAGAGGATCAGGTTTGATGGGGGAAGACCCCCTGAAAATCCTGGCTGCAGATATAAAGAAAAAAACCCAGAAAAAAACTACAAGACAGGTGACATATATTTTACCTACTCAAACATAAAACAAAAAATCATCTTTGGCTGGCTTGTGTACAATTCACAGTCCATACTTGTGTAAATGCAGGTATGTATGTTACCTTTGAAAATTTGTGTGTTTTCAGAGCAAAGGGACCAGACACCCATGAAAATGGGAGGCCCAGGTGATCCAGCCTCTCAGAGTGCATCTGTTGCAGCTTCCTCAGAGTTCTGCATCCAAAACAGCTTCAAGGCTGTTGGCTGAGATGGTCCAGCCTCACAGACTATTCCAGCCAGGACTTGACCATTATCCTAATTTTTTCTGGCTCCCTTAAAGATACCAGCACCCCCAGACAACGGGAAGCAGTATGGAGAAAACAACACCCACATTCCCAGGAGACATGGTGGGTGGTTTTGGGTTATTCAATGGGTTATGGATGTTTCACATTGTGTAAGGGGGATATAAAAATATAAGATAGGATAAAAAGACAACTATTAACCTCAAATATTTTACATTGGTATCGATTTTGCTATATTGATACAAATTTAAAGTTATTTTTGTTATACTAAATGTATGTTTCTACTCTTGTTTAAGGTATTGTACCTACGCATCTCATTTAACAATGTAATGTAAATTTCTAGTCCTTGAACGTTATTATTACAAAGTATTTAGGATAATGAAGAAATACAGGTTAGTAATCATCTATAATAATCAAACTTGTAGTCATATTAGGTATGCTTTCAAGGTTAAACAGATATATTTTAGAGAGACAGATGGTCTTCAAATGTTCCAAAGACCTACAGAATATGGCATTTAAAATGTTTTGTTAACATAGGGCTTTTTGTGACAGTGAGACACATCTGCTCCTGGCAGCACCAGTTTACTTCAGAGAAGATAATGGGCATTGAAGAAACTCCACATGGAGTTTGCTTTCTTTATGGCAAAAGCTAGCCATTTGGACAAGAAACTGCCCTTGCCTTGACTGTTGACAGTATCTTGTCCAAACTAGACCAGGAGGACACAAAGAAAAGTGATTACCAAACTTTGCTGAGACAGGGTAGGACAGTCTTTCAAAAATTCTTGCTTCACAGGAAAGTCTGACA